CAACCAAAGGAGGGGAGGGAGGACGCAAGGGAAAACAGTCCACAGCTGAGACCGAAGGGGCTCGGAGAAGTGGGCAAAGGGCTCGGGGTCGGGGTCGGGGTCGGGGGTCGGCTAGGGCTCCCTCAAGCCCCTCCGGAGGTCGCTGGGGGTGGGGTGGGGGAGGGGAGGGGAGGGGAGGAGCAGCGGGGCCCTGGGCCAGCGGCGGGCCTTTTCCGGCTCCCTCACGACCCCGGGGGCGGGTTGTGGGGGGAGCTCGGCAGGCACCCGGGCCAGGAGCGCCCAACGCCCTCTCACCTTTCACTTGCGCCTCGTACTCGGCCTGCAGCCCCCGCTCCCGGCGCAGCTTCCCGTGCGCGGCCATGGCTTCCGGGCGGCCGCGCCGTCGAGCCCCACTGCTCCCACGCGGCCGCGAGCGGGCCGGGCGCGGGGACCTGGGGCTCTGCAGCCCGCACCCCCGCCGGCCCCGCCCCGCCCCGCCCCCAGCGCGGTTCGGCGGGGAGGGGCGGGCCACGGCCCGGCACTGGCCCGCGAGGGCTTTCCGGCGGGGTCCCCCGGCGGCCGGACCCTGCCGCCCCCTCGTGCTGGGCGCTCGGCACACACCCCGGCTGCCTATGCCCCGCGCTCAGCGGCCAAGCCGCCAGGGCCCGTGTGAGAGCCTCGACGTGGTCCTCAAGCTGGCACCCTCCCGCTGCCTTTGTCCCACCACCACCACCCCCCGCCCCCCCGCAGAAGGTTGTCGGGTCACCACTGCCAAACCCCACCCTTCACAGCATGGCCATGAGTCCCGAATGCCAGTACGCAGTGCCACTATGGCTGCTCCGGGCCCTGGACTCCCCTGGGTCGCCTGCTTCCCCCTAGACCCCCAGGACATCAGATGGAACCCACACATCCCCAGTCACAGCCCTGAGAGATAAGCACAAGGAGACTGGAGAGCCGGGTGTCAAGTTCCTGGGGAAGGGCGGGGGGGGGGGGGGGGCGAAGGAAAGTCAGCACCAGAGATTAGAACCTCAGCCATTGCTCCCTCAAGCCCCCTCCTTGCAGGGAGAGCACGGTTTGACTAAGGTTCCCCTTCTGCTCAACCCCATAGGGAGGAACAAGCCTCATTTCCCCATAGGTAGTTACCACTTCCTACCACTTCCTGCTGCCGGAAGAGACTCTTCTGCCTTCTTTCCGCTGTCACTTGCACCTGCCCTTAGGCTTGGGGCTGGGGGTTCAGCCTTCCTCTTCCCCCCTCAGTGTAAGGTCTTAACAAGCCTGGGGACAAATCTTGGGGCCTCCCTTATTCAGGAGTGCTGGATCTCCCTCCACCAGCCTCTACCAACCCGGAGCCAAAAGGCAATGGATTTTCTCCGTTGAACTGGGAAGGCAAGCTGCACGCGGCCATTGACGAACCGGACTAGACATCTGTCTGAGGTCGGGTGGGTGGGGAATCCCTGGGGTATAGATGGTGGGAGAGGGGTGAGGCCATTAGGCTCCAGAATTGTGCCCAGGGAGCCAAGGAAGGTCTGTAGGCACTAGTGCAAGGGGTCCAGGCAGGTATGTGTGTGCATGGATGTCAAAGTCAGGCTCAGTGCAAACGTGGGCACATGTGACCTCGACCTGCAGCTGCGGAGTGGGGTGGGGTGGAGGAGGCTGCGCAGGTCCTTCCTGCCTCTGAACTATGAGCAGTTCTCTTGCCCAGAAGGGGAAAACATACCTCCTCAGTTCCCTGCTCACCCACCCCTACTCCTACCCAGGACCAGGGTCCTTGTCTAAGACACCAGGTGTCCACAGGGCGTGGGAGCTGGCCAGACACCAGCAGGCCCAGGACCTGGGCTTCCAGGAGCTGGCCTCAGCAGTACCACTGCTGGAGTCCTCTAGCCAGGCAGGCGAGCCTTCTGCCCCTTCCCAAAGCACACCGGAGCACTTCCTACCCCAAACCCCGTGTGTCAGGAACCTGTGCACCTCACCAGCCAACCCAACACACCTTGCCCCTACTCTCCATCTGAGCACTCCTGGCCTCAGCCCCTACTTTCAAATGCTCTCCTCTATCCTTTTCTGGCTCCAGAAACACTCACGCGATACCCCATTAGGCCACTGCTTTAAAACTTGACATCATAAGCCCTGGCTTTTAAGATGCTTGTTTGGCCTTTGAGACCCTAGTGCTTGCTCTATCCTCAGCTCCATTATTCCCCTTCAAAGAATCCAAAAGCCCATTATCCCACAGAAGATGAGGACCAGATGTGTGCGACCTTGCTCAAGGTGTTAAGGAGTGGAGTATACACTGGGCCCGGAGGGGTGACCTCAGGGCTGACATGGGTCAGGCGCTGTGCGTTGGATGGACTAGAGGGAGATGAGATCAATGTTACCGCCGTCTATGTCAGAGCGAGAGGAGATGAGAGCATGAATTGGGCAGTGAAGGTCCCATATGAAGATGCTGTGAGGCCCTTATTTTCCTACAAGTCAGGTTTCCAGAAGAAGCTTAAGAATGGGGGCTATGGGGGGGGGGGGGGCATCTGGGTGGCTCAGTGGGTTAAGCATCTGCCTTCCGCTCACTTCATGATGGGGGGGGTGTCCTGGGACCCAGCCCCGCTTTGGGCTCCCTGCTCAGCAAGAAGCCTGCTTCTCCCTCTCCGTCTGCCCCTCCCCCAGCTTGTGCTCTCTCGCTCTCTCAAATAAATAAAACCTTAAAAAAAAAAGAAAAAAGAATGGGGGCTTCCGAGGTCAAGGTTGTGCACCCAGTCGGTGTACAGGTTCATCCCTTGGGGAGACGTGCCCAGAGCCCAGCCCCAGCCCCAGAGTAAAAAGGTAAGGGCGGGCCTGCTTCCCCACCGTCAGCTTTCCTGCCCCAGCTCCGCTCGGCAAGCCCTGCACAGAGGCAGCCCCTCCCAGAGGCGGGTGCCGCAGCGACCGCGGAAGTGTTGGGCCCCAAGGGACGCTCGAGCCTGCGGCTTCCCCTCTCCCCTCCCCACCGCGGCCCCCACCTCCGCCCAGGAAACCCAACCGCCTGCAAGAGGCCCAGCGTCAACGGGCCGCAAGGGACGTAGGGCACGGAGGGCAGAGGGCGAGCCGGGAACCTGGGGGCCGGCCGAGGGCGGAAGGAGGGCGCGGCAGACGGCGCCGTGGGAGCCTCCGTGGGCTCCCTCCGCCCAGTGCTGGGGCGCGGCCGAGGCAGCGCGCATGCGCGCCCTGCCCGGGAAAGCCCGCCCCGCCGCCGCCAGACCAGTCAGAGCCTGGGAAAGAAGGCGGCTGCGGCTGACGAAGAGGGGGAGGGACTGACGCCGGGCGTAGGGGGCGGGGCAAAGCACCACCTCCCGCCCCCAGAGCGCGCCGACGAATGGGCGGGCTGGCGCAGGCGCAGCTTTGCAGCCTCGCCCTCTGCTGTCTGGGCTTCCCCGGCTGCCTGGTGGTCACGTGACCGGCGCCGGCCAGAGAGAAAACGGAGCCCTGGGCCCGGGGTTGGCCAATTACTCAGCCTAGCAGGGGAGCCCTGCACCATCTGCAGCGGCAGGCGCATCAAGTACAGTGACAGCTCTAGAGTGCCGAGCTCCGCTGGGAGGTGGGCAACCCAGGCAGAGCCTCCCCAGGGACTAACAGCAGCAAGTGATCGTGCTGCAGCCAGAGGCAGGGCAGGAACAAAGGCACGGGAGCAAATCTTAGGGCTGGCTTAGAACCATGGGAAACGGAGGGCTTACAGAAATACACCCGTAAATACAGAGCGCAAACTGCTGGTTGCCAGAGGGGAGCAGGATGGGCGACAGGCAACATGGTTGAGGAGGAAGGGGAGATACAGGCTTGCGGTTATGGAATGGGCAGGTCAGCACAGGGAAGATGGTCAGTGGTATTGTTAATAGCTCTGTATGGTTACAGATGGCAGCTACGCTTGTGCTGAGCGCTGCGTAACCCATAGAGATGTTGATCACCATTTTGTGCACCTGAAATTATTGTAAATTTTTGTCAACTATGCTCCAGTAAAAAAAAAAAAAAAAAGAGGGCTTATATTCTGCATGAAATGACATTATGCATTTGTCAAAAAACAGAATCCACAACACAGAGGGAAATGTAAACCCTGGACTATAGTTAATAATGTATCGATATTTGGGCACCTGGGTGTTCAGTTGTTAAGGGCGTCTCCCTTTGGCTCAGGTCATGATCTCAGGGTCCTGGGATGGAATCCCACATAGGGCTCCCTGCTCAACAGGAAGCCTGCTTCTCCCTCCCCCACTCCCCCTACTTGTGTTCCCTCTCACTGTCTCTGTCAAATAAATAAATAAAATCTTTAAAAAAATGTATCCGTATTGGCTCAACAATTTTAACAAATGCAACATTTCACACAATGTTAATAGGCGAAAAATGACTGCAGAGGGAGGTACATGGAAACCACTATCTGCTCAGTTCTGTAAACCTAAAACTGTCCAAAAAATAAAGTCTATTTCCAAATAAAGGCTGAGGTTAGGGAGCAGATTCCATGGTTATTACAGTCGTTGAACACACAAGATTTCCTGACCTCTTAGATGGCGGGGGAGGGAGGAATCAAGGACAATCAGTTGCCACAGTTGCCAGGGCCTGAGCGACGGGGTAGCTGGCTGGGCCATTACCACACAGGACACAACAGATAAGCCCCAAGCACAGCCGGCTCTTAACGCCATCAGTAGCCCAGCGAGGCAGCGGCAGAGCAGGGCTCAGAAGGGGGATCATTTGCTCCCTGGCAGGGACCGGCTTCCAGAACTCCAGGGTCTCCCTCCTCTGGGCCCAAAGGTGCCGAAAGCCATCAGACTTGGGAGCCCCACCTCTAAACCCTGACAAAGCTCTTGCCTTCTATGTGGGCTTAGCAGGACATGTGGTGCCAAAAGGCTGAGGCCTGTATTCGCGGGGACATACAGGGTCTGGAGAGAGGCAGCCGCCCATCTGCCCTACCAATGCGCACACTTGCACACACAAACTCCCCAAAGCCGCTGGGCGAAGTTTATTGTGAAACCTCGAGGGGCGGCGAGGACAGGTCGGGCAGGTCAGGGTGGGGAGAGGAGCAAGTGCAGGCTCTAGGAGGCGGAGTCAGAGGCCTCTGAGCTGTCCTTGACGTCGGTGCTCTCTGTGGTCTCGCTGACCTCGCTGAGATCCTTGCTGTCCCCACCGCTATCCTCAGCAGCCAGGCCCTTCTCCTCACGACAGGCCTCTCCCGAGCTTGGAAGTGAGTTGCCCCGGCTTTCCACCTTGTTCTCGATGGAGCCCAGCACCACGTGCCTGCCCTTCTCCTTCAGCTCCAGGTGCCGCCTCAGCTGCCGCCAGGAGCCGAGGGAGACGCAGGAGGAAGGAGACAGGGCCTAAGTCTCCAGACCACGTGGGCCCCTGCCTGCCACCCAAGCTGGGGATGAGGGAAGCCTGCACCTGTCACTTGCTGGGGGCCTCGGGCCAGGGCCAGGGCCAGGCCCTGACTTTGTCCTCCGCCCAGCTGTGTCTCACCCCTGAACCCTGGGAGCCCTAGTTCTCAGCATGTGCTGGGGCCTCCTCCCTTCCCTTGGCCATCGCACCTCAGACAGCACAGGCTTCTGCAGAGAGTGGGATCCCAGAGGAACAGCGGAGGACTCCCAGCGCTATGGCCACTGGCGCAGGTGCCAGTCCCCCTCGCCTGTGGCTGCAGAAGGCCTCCTACTGCCTCAGGCACTCCCAGAGGGCCTGCCCTGCTGGCCTGGCCCCCAGGGACGCTCACCTCGTCAGCCATCTGAGTGAGGTCCCGCTTCATGGCGTACGCGTCTTCCCCATCCGCGTAGTACTTGGGCTCCACTTCACTGATCCTGGAAGCGGGAAGTGCAGAAAAGAACGACCCAAGTCAGAGGGCAAATTCTCCTCAGGCTTCTGGCCTCCTCTGCTAGCGGGGCAGCATATCTGTTTTCCCTGAAGGACCCTTCTGGAGACAGCAAGCCCCGTTTCCCTGTGCGCTCTCCAGGAGTCAAGCAGTAAGTAGCCCCCGATGTTTTTATGCCTCTGGGGGCTGCCACTGTCCTGTGTCTGTAACCTGATTTGCAAGGATCTGTTTCTGTGGTCCGTTATATCGAGCTGAAGCCATGAACTGAGACATCCCCTCTCTCCACGCCGTGTTGCCTATCTCTGACTAAGCAAAGGCAGGCTGACTGGTGTGTCCAGCAACGGGAAATGAGGAGGACGGGCGCTGGGCCTCTGTTCCCGACTAAGCAGGGGGTGTACATACAGACCTGGGTACTCCTGCCACTGGCTGGAAGGGGCGCTGGACTGCATGGCCTAGGAGGGCCCGGCAGCCCTGAGACCCCAGAATTGCTGGCCACTGGAAGCAGGTACGTCCAGATCAAAGATCCTTCCCCGAGGGCCCTGTTCATCTCCCACTGAACCGAGGCTAAAGCTGTCTCTCTGGGCCCTCCATCCCCGCCTCACTGTACCATGTACCGGTCACACCACTTCCCTGCCAGGCTTTCCCTGTCCTGTGCCAGGCACACAGAGACTCTCATGTCCCCAAGCGGGCTTGTCCTCATCCACCAGGACAGCCCAGAACTCGAGATCCCTCCATTGTTCTTACCAAAGGCCCTACTGGCCTGGACATGCTACGGTTTCTGCAGCATGACATTCTCCTTTCTCCTGGGCCTATTGGATGCTTCCAGGTGCCAGGTGCCCTTGAACCCTGCTCCTGCTCGTGTCCCGGGCCCTCACCTCTACCAAGAAGACTGTGTGCCCTTCACCTAGCCCTAGCCGGTGTCAAGCGACATAGCAAGAGCCACACCAAACGCATCCTGAGCGGACTGCAGCGGCAAGGGCCGTCGTCACAGACGCCGGAGGAGACCTCCTGAGAACGCATGGAGTCCACGGCCCAGTCCCTGTCTCAGCCGACTGCAGGTCTTCCCTCCAGCCACCCACATCCCCCAACCCGGAAGGCAGCTCTGATGCCTGGACGAGCCAGACCTGGGACCACCCCATCCTATTAGAAAAGTCTTGAGCTACTTACTGAAAGTTGAGAGTGTTGGAATAGAGGTGCAAGGCGGCCCGGTTACTGCAGGGGAACAAGGCACTGCTGAGCTGCACAGACTTGGCCAGACAGGGACAGTGCGCCCAGGTCCAGCCCCTCCTCCCAGTATCCCCCGCCCCACTAATACCACTTCCCAGATCTTCTCCGAAAGCCAGGGCACCCCAGGACCCCCATCAGCACAGAATCTCCTCCCCACCCTCTCCCTGCCTCAGCCCCCACCCTCCTCCCCTCTCCTGCCCTTCCCTCCGCCCTGGCTTCCACCTCTTCCTGACGTGCAGGGATACGTATTTGGCATTGAAGTTCTCGATCATGGCTCGCGAGGCCTGGTCCATCAGCTTCTGAGCCAGGCCGAGGCGCCGGTGGGAACGCTTCACAGCCTGGCGGGAGGAGAGTGGTACCTTGAGGGCCACCCCAACCAAGCCCACCTCCACCCCTGCCAGGACCTGGGTGGGTCCTACGCACCAGCGACGTGATATGTCCATGGGGCACATCATCTGGATCCTCCTCCCTAAAGTGAGGAGAAAGGAGAGGCTGGAGAGGAGCCTGGTGCCGAGGCGGTCACCAGCCCACATCCACGGTGCAGGCAAAGAGCAGGAGCACAGAACTCCTCTGGCGGCTCCGAAGTTCCCCCAGACCCCGGGTGGGGCAGAGCTGGGCTCTCAAAACCCCGTGCCGCAGACAAAACACAAGCGCACTGTCAAAGGAGCCCAATGGAAACGCTGACTGTGCTGTGAGGAACCGAGCCACCGAGCCAGGAAAAGACGTGGAAGACCTTTCAGTGCCGTGACTTAAGTGAAAGGAGCTCATCTGAAAAGGCCCCATACCGTACGATTCCAAACACATAACATTCTAGGAAAGGCAGACCTACAGAGACAGTAAGGAAGTGTGGCAGTGGTTGGTGTGGGGAAGGGGGGAGGAGAAAAGGAACAACAGGGAAGGTTTTCAGGCCGCTGAAACTACGGATTCTAGACCAGCAGATACCCGTTACTACACATGTATCCAAACCCAGAGAAGGTACACCATGAAGTGTGAACCCTATTGTAAACCGTGAACTTTAATAATGTGGTCATACTGCTTCGTCAACTGTCACCAATGTACTCCAAGGTGTTAGTGATAGAAAAAACTCGGGCTCAAAGGGCAGGGGGTGTATGGGAAGTCAATACTTTCCAGTAATTTTGGAAACCCAAAAAGGAACTAAAAACCAGTAGATTAATTCATTAAAACAAGAAAAGCCACTACAGGGCAGCATCTAGGAGACACACGTGGTGTTGGTGCCCCACCCCACCCCCAATCCACTGCCAACTCTGGTGACTCACATTTTGGCCAGGACGTACCCCACAATCTTCCCATTCTCATCCTCAGCGATGTAAGAGAGCTGGGTGACAGGGAGAAGAAAAAAGAGATTAACTTCCTGTCCGAGGTGGAGGAATCCTTGGCAGGCACTTGGTCCCACTGCCCGCCTGTCACTGTGCGCATGACAGACCCCCACTCAGTGGCGAGTTCAGTGACAGCTCCTGACCTCTAGGTCCAGTGGCTTGGTTTCCTTCTACACACCCCACTGCTGCTCCTCCCACTTGGATGTCCCTTGGCCTGGTCTTGTCCCCCACCCCCAAACTCCACAGCCGCGCACCTGCGGCCAGGAGAGGCCGTGGTAGAAGTAGTATTTCATCTGGTAGTTCTCGGGCAGGCACAGGAGGTTGCAGTGTTGCATGTTCATGAGGTCCTCCGGCTGCGGGAGGGCAGGCGGTAGAATGCGGTCAGGCCAGGGGCTGTGGTGCCTAAGTAGGCCTCAGCCACGTTAGAACCCTGCTCCCTGTCTGTCTGCCCCCCCGACCCCCACCCGCGCGGGGCTGGGCGGGCGCTGGGACTATCTGTCTTTGCACACTGGCGCACAGTCGCCGCAGAAATCATCCGTCCCAGGAATGGATCTGAGCGCCAGGCAGTTTTGGGACATCAGGCAACTGAGCCCCGACATTCCTGTTCGGACGGGTCCAGACCCGCGGGGACGGTGGCCTTCACCTGTCCATGCCCCGAGCCCGCAGGCGCGTGGAGCGACCCGCCCGGGGCTTCGCCGGGCCCCTCGGGAGCATGCGCACGCGGCCAGCGGGCCGCGCACCCACGCGGCGCGGACAGCCTCCCGCCCCTGCCCCTCACCCTCGCATTGCGGATGTTCATAACGGCGGCGGGGCACGCGGTTCCCAGCGGGTCGTAAACGCGCAGTCAGCTGCCGCCGCGCTCCAAAGCGAAGCCGAGGCGGCCGGGCCGGGGCTGGGGCTGGAGCCGGGGCTGGAGCTGGGTCTCGGGGATCGCGGGGGCGGTGGCGGAAGGGGCGGTGCGCGTCTGGCCCGGCTGCCGGCCGGAAGTGCGCGCCGCCGAACCCGCCCTCGCGGCCGCCGGGCCAATGCTTGGGGTGGGATCCAGGGCGGGGGTGGGGCCTGCCCGGGAGGCGGGACAGGGCGCGGAGCGAACCAATGGCCGGGCGAGCCCCGGCGCGGGGCGGGCCCGTCACGGGGCTCTTGGGGCGGCCCAGCGCGCGGGGCGGGTCCGCTCGTGCCGGTTGCGCACCACCCTCCTCCCGCGATCCCAGACACGCACGCACACAGGTAGTGCAGCACGCACGGTTTTATTTCGCGCCTTGGCGGGCGGGGGGCACGGCGAGGGGCACGGCGGGAGGGGAGCCAGAGCTGGGACCGGGGGCCACGGGGAGGCGGCTCAGCAGGGCGCCCAGCATCTCCTCGCACATGGCGAGGCACCTCGGCACATGGAAGCAGCCTGCAGGGAGAGGCAGGACAGCTGGTTGAGAGGCCCAGGGGCAGCCGACTGCCCCAAGCCCCTGCGGCCCCCGCCCTGTCTGTCCCCCACTCACCTTTGAAAGGACCCCCTTTGATGGTGAGAGCGACTTTCCCCTCTTGGTTCAAGTAGCCGAACCATTCCCCGTACTCAGGATCCCGAAACTGGAGTAACGAGACAGTGACAAGGCCTCCAGGTGCCACAAGGCCAAGTAAAGGGGCGTTCACCGTCCCCACCGCACCGCTACCGCGGGGTCACAAACAGGACTGGCCCCAGGTAACGGGGCTCCAGAATCACCGCTTTTAAAAGCAGGACCGCTTCCAGGACAAAGATGAAGGTGGGGGACGTTTCTCTTTCTGCCTGGGGATGGGAGTGCGTGCGCACTCCCATCCCCAGGCAGAAAGAGAAACGTCCCCCACCCACAGGCTGAGACTTGAAACACTACAGAAAGGGACTAAGTAGCACCCTGTCTGGGGACCACGAGAAACATTCTACAGCTTGACAAATGCACAGATGTAGTTACACAGATGCATACATTGTTATATCTCAGTGACCTGAACACTTGGATAGGCTTTACTGTGTATAAATTGTACTTTAAGAAAATTGATTAAAAAAAAATTGATTTTAGGGGCGCCTGGGTAGCTCAGTCATTAAGCGTCTGCCTTCAGCTCAGGTCATGATCCCAGGGTCCTGGGATGGAGCCCCGCATCGGGCTCCCTGAGTCTGCTTCTCCCTCTCCCACTTCCCCCGCTTCTGTTCTCTCACTTTCTGTCAAATAAATTAATAAAAATCAAAAAAAAAATGAAGTCTTTTAAAAAAAAAAGGAAAAGAAAATTGATTTAAAGGAACAAAGAACAAGGAGAATTCTGGTGGAGTTGCAGACCTTCATGTAACTTTGTAGTTGCTTTCTGGAGGGAGCTTCTGCTACAGATTCTCTCTCCCTTCCTCTCCCACTGCCCCTCCCCCCTGGTTGTGCATGGATGCGTGCACAGGAATTCTAAAATCTTTTTTTTTTTTTTAATTTCCCTTCTTCACCATAGTGGTAGTACCTCCTCAGTACTATACTCCTTTAGGGAGAATCTTTTTTTAAAGATTTTATTTATTCATTTGACAGCTACAGAGGGAACACAAGCAGGGAGAGAGGGAGAAGCAGGCTTCCCGCTGAGCAGGGAGCCTGATGCGGGGCTCGATCCCAGGACCCTGAGATCATGACCTGAGCCAAAGGCAGATGCTTAATCGACTGAGCCACCCAGGCGCCCCTAAAATCTTTCTTAAAAAATAAAATGTAGGGGCGCCTGGGTGGCTCAGTGGGTTAAAGCCTCTGCCTTTGGCTCAGGTCATGATCTCTGGGTCCTGGGATCGGGCTCTCTGCTCAGCAGGGAGCCTGCTCCCCCCCCCCCCCCCACCCGCCGCCTGCCTCGCTGCCTACTTGTGATCTCTCTGTCAAATTTTTTTTTAAAGGCATTAAAAAAATCTTTAAATTTCATTTTACGCAGTTCAAACCGATGGACTCTAACAGCCGCAAGTCTCCTGATTTCCTGTGTTTAACACGCAGAAGTGAACACTGGATCCCAGTTAGAGGTTAGTGCCAAGAAAGGTATAGTTTTCTTCCAAGTTCCAAAGCGCACAGACCCCAGGAGACCATGTGTAGAACCTCCTGTGCCGGGATGGACCAGTGGTGTGGGTCACAGCTTTAGAAACACGCCGGGAATCCTCAGTCATCACCAGGCGCCCCCCGAGCGGCACCTAGCACATCACTCTGTTCCTAGTGCTCGGCCTCTGGTGGACCCCTGGCTGCCTTCTGACCTCACAGCTGATTCTTGCCCTGCCCAAAGCCCCAGGACTCAGTAATGCCTAAATCCCACGAGGTACCTCCTCTGTGCAGAGCAACCCCTTCTGCGTTTGCTCTCTCCCACTTGCCCCCCCCAGTCCCCTGCCCTTGATGTATTTTCCAAAGCTGTCACTGCCACCTACATGTTTGTGTGTTTACTTGTTTATACCCTGCCCATGCTGCCCGCCCCCCCCACCAGCATCGGCTCCAGAGGGGGCAGCGGCTGCTTCATTGAGTGAATAGAGGGCGCCGGGGACCAGATCTCTGGGAACGCTGGCCAGCCCAGGGACCACACCCACTGAGGGGGAGGAGAAGGGGCTGTGGGATCCGCCTCCCCATCCCTGCCTAGTCTCTTCCCACAGTCCGAGAAAGCCTGGCTGGGGGGCCGCCCTGAGAGGGAGAGCTGCCTGCTCTTCCCTCGCCCCACGCAGGACCCGGAAGCCACATTTACCTGGCGGAAGGTGTACTCAGCCACCTGGTAGAAGAGATGCAGCAAGGCAGGGTCCCCGCTGTCACTGTAGCCCATGAGGAAGGCGATCATGGCTTCGCTGTGTGGCCACCAGAGCTTCATGGCCCACTCCAGCTGAGAGCAGAGCAGCGACAGGTGTCTGTGAGCCCTGGGATGCATCCTGTGCCGCCCCCTCAGCCCACCCTCCCGATCGCGGCCCAGACACCATCGGGCCCCAGCACTTGGGGCTTCATCACAGGCTGGATGTCCCTGAGGGTCCGAATGGCCCCTCCGCACGGGACCAGCTTCCTGACCGGGATGCACCCGCTAACAACCCCTTCCCAAGGGCCAGGGTGGGGCGGCCTCCCTTTCTAGCCCTGGAACCGAAACCCTGTCTGCCTTGTCAGCCTGTCTGAAGCTCCTCCTGACGGCAGATCGGGCTCCCTCTGCAGATCTCAGTGGGGTCAAACCCAAGCAGAGGCGGCGGACATAAGGGTGCAAACCTGCTCCCACTACCGATGCCTGAGAGTCACCCAGAGCGCCTTTCAAAGATGAAGAGCACATGTATCTCAGGACTGGCATCGTCCGCACTCGCTGACGGGAGGGTGAGGGCCACTGGCAGAGAGGAGTTTCCCACCAGGGTCACACTGGGCGAGTGCATCACCCTGAGACCCAGGTCCCCACCCCCCATAAAATGAGTGATGACGGCACCCGCCTCCCAGGGAAGAAAGCCTTGAACAGCCTGGTACCATGTGGCCCTGGGCACATTCCCACCTGGGTGGGGCAGAGGCCGTCAGCATCCTGGAAGTAGAAGAGGCCTCCGTGGTCAGGGTCCCAGCCAGAGCGGAAGGGCAGCAACAGGAACTTGTTGATAACGTGGGCTCGGAGCTTGGGGTCACCCTTCCTGACGGCGTGACGGAGCAGGAACCAGCCAGCTTCCAGCGCGTGGCCTGGTGAGCGCTCTGGGTTAAGACAGGCAGTGGACTCCCCCCTGCCCCCCAAGGCAGGTGCCTCCCTTCCTCCTCCACTAACTATGGGAGCTGCTCTGAGCTCTTGCCACAGCTTCTCTCCCGCAGAAAGCTTGCCCTCCCAGTCTGTCCCAGACTCTGTCTCCGGCTGCTGACACCCCTGCCTGGGAGGCCTGTCCTGGCTTCTCTGCCCCATCCTCAGCAGCAGCTGGAGCGGGGAGGGCGGAAGGCAGCCCCCGGGCACTCCCCACATCTGAGATGCAGAACTGGGGACTGAGCAGTCCCTTCCTCCTGGGCCCCCCCCCCAGCCTACTCTATTCCTCACCTGGGTTCTGGTGCCTCCCCAGGCAGCCAGAAAGCTCCTCACCGTCCTCGGACACATTCTCCAGCACAGCCTGTCCATCCCTCTGCCCAGGAGGGAGGGAGGAACACAGGAAGGTAAATCTGCCTTCAGCTCCAACTGGAAAGGTGCGCCCACTCACCCTCCCCTCTGTCATCTGTGGTCCTGGGCAGGCCTGGCTCAGAGGGGGCATTTGAGAAGGGGCCCAAGGGCCTGAATGGGTTCTGACCCTTGCCTGGGCCCCCAAGGTGGGAAGAGTGACACACTGAATAGGGGCTGAGAGTTAAGGTTGGCTGGGTTGCCTACAGAGGCCCAGAAGAACTTGGGTCTGGCTGGGTCTCCTGCTCTTGAACACGCCAGAGCCCCCGGCCCCTTCCCTCCTGCCCTTGGCCCCACTGGGCTCCCCTGGGCCCTCTACCTTTCCCAGGGGTGTGGGCTTCTGGGCCCCAGCCGAGCTCCCCACCCCCACAGGGTCTTCCCGCCTGTAAAGGGGGCCACCAAGGCCCAGCCGGGGGTGTGCGTGTGTAGGCTATGGAGGTGCCCCAGGGCCTGGGGAGTGAGGGTCACCCTACTCCCCGGCTCCTAGGGCCCATCTGGCAGGTGAGGGTCAGCCTCCTGTCCCCTGGGCGTCCTCCCCACCCCCCCCACCTGGACGTGCTGCAGAATCCTCTGGACACACCAGTCCCCCAGCTCCACGTAGTTGCCTGCCAGCTCCTCGTCCGCCTCCCCGAGCTGGTCCACAAGGTTGAGCAGCATCATGGGCACTGCCATGGACTCGGAGGCTGGGGCCCCGGGGAGGTGCGGACGGCCCAGCCCCGATGGGTCCTCCCGCACCCAGCACGCGATCTGCTCCATCATCTCCACCGCTTCCTTCTGGGTGGGGAGAAGGGAGGCGAGGGGAGGCCAGGGCCGAGGCGGCATCCCGTGCCGTCTGAACTGGGGTGGGAGAGCCTCGTCCTCCCGCCTGCTCCTAGGACCCCTTCACCAAGGGCCTACTCTGGGCCCCAGGCCTGGGCTGGGGGCTGGTGTAGATCTGCCCCACCCTGCTTCAGGGCGGGGGGTGTCTCCCAGTTTGTGGGTGCGGGCCACTCCCGAGCAGTGAGGTCGGGTCTGAGAGCCCAAGGGGCTCCAGGGAGGAGGGAGAGCTCCCTTTCGGCGGGAGCAGGTGTGCACTGGTCTCTCTGTGCTCTGTGCATGAATTCAGAGGAAAAGATTCCAGGGAGGGCGAACCCCTCACAGTACAACCCAGCGAGGGGGCCGCTGTCAGCAGCCCTGGGCCCATGGGGACCCAGAGGAAGGACTGCTGTTGGCAAGAGACCCCATGTGCACACAGAGCCCAGGGGGGAGGCTTGCACACGAACAGGAAGGCTTCAGGCAGCCATAAGGCAGCCTCCTTCCCGCACACCTGGTAACGCGCTTCCCCAGTCACCCGCCACAGCTCGTTCATGGCCATGGTGTAGAAACACTCGCTGAAGATGGTCCGCTGCACCTTGACCGGGCGGCCGTCCCGCGTCAGCACAAAGGCACACTTCTTTCCAGGAGGTGCCACTCGGGCATAACGCAGCAAAAATTCGCCACCTGGTGGTTGGGAAGTTGCTACGCTTGAGCTGAAGTGAGGTTGCCCAAAGGCCCTTCACTGCTTCTGGACCCCCTAGAACTGCAGGAAGCTTGGATGCGCCTCTGAGATGGGGACAGGGAGAGTGCACCTGCTTTGGCGGAATCCAGAAGTTCAGGGCTGCGGAATCGCTCAAGTTTTCGGTATAGGCGACAATACATCCACACCTGTGGGGGAGTGGAGGGAATATGGCTTAAGCGGGGAGCAGCGCGGGGGTTCGCAGGGCTGGGAAGAGAAGTCGTCCTCAGGTGCCCCTGCCATGGGAGGAGGGGTGTGGAGGTGCCCAGCCTGGTGCGTGCAGATTGCGGACCGGCCAAGCCGACTCCAGCCGCCACCTCTGGGAGCGCTCCCTGCCGGGGCACATGCCCTACCTGCCTCCCCTGCAGCCAAACATACTTGAGGTCATCGTACACCTGCCCATCTCGACCAAGACACGTGAAGAAACCCCTGTGGGATTCACAGTGTTAGCAAAGCGGGGAAGGGGCCTTGCAACCACCGGGTCTGCTGCTCTGCTGGGCTCAGCAGATCTGAGTCAGCTGAGAGTGAGATGGGGGCTCAGGACGGGCAGACACCCCCCCCAGGGCACCAGAAGGGCGAGGCGCACCCATGCTCCTGGTCGTGAGAGTGCTCCGTCCAGAAAGCCACCACGCGGTCCAGTTCCTGCTCCACGCGCTCTTTCCAGGTCTGCATAGCCTCTCGCTCCTTTTCCATGTCCTGGGGGAACCCGGGACTTGGAGACACAGCTTCCCCACAGGCCTCCCCATTTTCCCAGTCCCCAAACTCCTCAACAGGCTCCTCTGTGCCCTCAGGTCACCCCACGCTCCAGGGGACCCCAGGGCTGCCTGAGCCGTCTCCCCTGGGCCCCCAGGCTTCGGAACCCAGACCTCAGGGTTCCCCACACCCCTGCGTGGGGCTGTCCTCTGGCTCGGGACTGGCCCCAGAACTGACCCCACCGTCCTGAGAATCCTCCAGAACAACACCCTCCCCATTACGGCCCCTCCACTGGCCTGCCACACTTGGAGACCCCCGCTCATCCTTCCTTCTCCTCCGGGAAGCCAGACAGAGCTGGTCGTAGTCCCGTGACTGTCACTCAGCTGACCCTGCCGCGCCCCACCCGCCCCCTCCTCCAGGAAGTTCCGCGGAGTCTGGGGGCGGGGCTTGGCGGTCGCACGACTCCGCCCCCGTGCTCCGGCACCGCCCCCACGCTCGCGGGCCAAGACCCGTGGGCAGAGCAGGGCAGAGCCAGCAGCAACTGCCGCTGGCAGACCCCGGTTCGAGAGCCTCCTGATGGGAAATGGTGGGTGAACTGGCAGGGCAGTCTGGGGCGGGGAGCACGCGGCTGGCTCCAGCACACCGGCTCCTCCCAGCCACCTTTTCCCACCCTTGAACTGAGTTGGGGGGAAGAGTCCTGCGGAAGGGGCCTGGGCAGGGCAGAGCAGCTGAGGGTGATGTCCCCAGCTCATGCTTAGTGGAGGCCCTGGCTTTGGGTCCGACTGGGCTCGTACCCACCCCGCTCACAGATGCTTGTCATTGTTTACGGTATATCCCTTCACGTCCAGCCTCTCCCCTGCTTTCCTTGCACTCTCTCCCCGTCATGCCTAGCCAAGGACAAGTCTTCAGTATGTGGAAGTTTCTAAGGTTCCTATGGGTGAGCCCGCCGGCGGCCTTGGGTCCAGTGGATGGGGCCTTGGCCAGTCTGAAGACAGAGAGCTGGTACCACTCCTCTCCCCCCCACACAGGCCTCTCCCCAGGAGGCCGCAGAGCGCTGTGCTCCGATGCTATACTGGCATGGCCCGGAGAGCCCCACGGGCCACTTTGAGGCAGGTGAGCAGAGGGACGGTGGAGGAAAGTGTCACAGAGCCATCTGACACATGCCTGGCCAATCTGCACAGGCCCCACCCCCTGGGGCCAGCCCCACGCAGACCTTATGTACCTGCTGGCCAGCATCCTCCCACCCCCAGCCATTGCTCCTGCTGCTCCAACTTGCAGGGCACGTGCTCACCTCCCCCCGCCCCCCCCGGGCCCGGCACCAGACACTGGGCTCCAGATCAGATCTGAACTGGTGCCATGGGGAAGACAGAGCCATGGTTCCTGGTATCAAGAGCCACAGGACAGGTCCCATCATGAGGCACTGCGAGCCCAGTGGAGTGAGCACCAGGGAGAGGCTTGCCCTGGGAGGCTGCCCAAGAGAGGTGGCTGAGAGCCAGCACAGCATGGGCCCACACGCCCGAAGGGTAGAGATGGCATGACTGGATGAGAGGGTACCGAGGCTATCTGCCTGCGCCCCGTGCAGCAGCTCTGCTCCCCCGGCTGCCTCACCCGTGCTACTGATACCAACAGCTGCACCGGCTGCCTGTTCAATATAACTTTTGCTCCTTTTCTTTCTGAAGCCTGACTCGCATGCACAAGGGAGCCAGCACTGAGAGTCCCTCCCGCAGCACCCGTTGGTTGCAGGAACCACCTGTGGGTGATACACTCTGGGGGACCTGAGCTCTTGTCGGAGAGTCCGGCTCAGCCCTTCTCTTCCCGCCTGTCCAAGGAGGCCAGTGGCTGGTGATCTCCCGGTCCTTTGTCCCAGTCCCCCGTCCTCTGGGTGGGGAAAGGAGGGCAGGTGATCTGGTCTCCAGACAGGGAACCGACAGCAACTGCCCAGGAAGCCACTTGGCCTCTACTCCAAACCAAGGCTGCTGTGGGACGTTTCGTGGGGAACCGCGTCCTGGCCTCAGTCCCCAGGGCTGCAGGCCTCAGCGGAGCCTTGAACTTACAAGTGAACCCTGCTCACTGCCCTTAGAGCAAGAGGCTCCCAGGGACTCCGTGAGCCACGGGGAGGGGCGGGGAGGGGGGGTAGGTGGTGGCATCACAGCTCCAGCCTCCTCCCTGGGAGTCCTGGACACAGTAAATGAGCAGGTGATTATTTCAAAAAAAGTCTTTTAATTGTTCAAAATAGCACAAAACGACATCGCACTATGGTAATATTGAGTCACAGGGGTTACTCTACAATAGATGAACGGCATACTGTTCTCAGAAACGAGAGAAATCAAAGGGCGCTCAGGAGGAGGGACAGGGAAAACAACAGGGCCAGGTGAGTGGGCTCCAAGGTGACCGACTAAACGTGACATTTTCCACAGCGAAGTATACTATAATACAACAAACCAGAGGCCCCAGAAGGTGTGGGCCAGTGGCAGGGGTCTGCAGAGGCTGGGCCCCTCACCGCAGCTCATCTCCAGGCCAGAGATGGGGGGATCTGAAAAGACAGGCTGCTTGCTGTAAATCCTTCTGCACGACCTGCTGCTAAACCTTGCTCAGTGCCTAAAGCTCGGGTGTGGGGCAGAAAGCAGTCTCCCAAGCCACACTAAGAGCCCTCGCGCCACCCCCACCCCCCGCCCCAAGTCTGGCCCTGGGCCTGCAGATTCACAGAACAGGTGACTGGTGCGGTCATCCTGCATCTTCTCTATGGCCTCTCCCGGGTGCCCCCCACAGTCGCTTTCCCAGCCCAAGCTGCCCTCCTCCCCTCACCCCACTCCTTCTGACATGCCCCTGCCTGGAGGAGGCCGCAGGGGATGGTGGCAGATACTCTCAGCCAGTTTGCCAAGGAGGGAGCCTGCGGGGCAGGGGGTGGGGTGGGGAGTCGGGGGTGGGCTGGGGGGCAGGGGATGTTGAGAGCACTGTGAACCCAGGACCCGCTCCTCTGCAGAAACCTGACTTTAGACTCCAACAGAGACTCTCCAGCTCGATCACCCCCGGGAGTGAGGTTTGACAGCTCAGCCCTCCTCTACCCCAGGGGCCTGGGGACAAGTAAAGGGGGCGGACAGCAGGGGCCGGCAAGAGGAAATCAGGCCTGGCAGCCAACACCAGGCCCACAGGGGAGATTCTACGCCTCTCCTGTGCCAGCTGCCCCCAGCTTTTCTTCCAGAAAGATCCCTGCCAAGGCTTTAGCCAAGGAAAAAAAAGTAAAAGTTAAAAAAAAAAAGGAAAAGAAAAAAAAGGTACACATACTGTACACAGCTAACAACAACAACAAAAAAAGGGACAAAACCCCACACGCTAAGGCTAAAATTACAATAAAAATGTCAACTTCATCAATTCCAACTTAAAAAAAATACAACAAATGCAGCAGTTGGTGGTGTGGCCCCTAGCCCCGACCCAGGGGCCAAAGCCAGGCTCCGTGGGGGCTACTGTATGCCCCACTGGGAGCCAGGAGATTTGCACAGAACACTGCTCGGGCCACCACGGGCTCATTCTTCCCCCTTTCTCTTTCTTCTTACTTCCTAGCTCTCTAATCGCGAAAGAAGAGAGACGGGACAAGGGGTCAGAGTACGAAGGCCGTTGAGACGGGTTGGACGAAGCTGAAGCCCAGGGCCGTGTGGAGGCAGGATATGCAAAAGGAACCACGTGGGCATCTAGCACTCGGGTGCCCCGCTGGCCCACTCGGAGCAGAGGCGGGGGGAGGGGAGCTTGGGGGCGGGGGCGGGGGGGGGGGGGGGGGGGGGGGGGGCGTTCTTCTGCTTCCATGCTACAGCCCCTCCCGCCCTTGGCCGCCCCCTCGGAACCAAGGTGACCAGCTGCCAGAGGCACGTGCGTCCTGGTCTCCAAGGCGCATCTGCTTCGTCCAAAGCCTCTGTCTAGCTCCCTCGAGGGCCTCAGAACGCGGGGCCTGCTCAGCTCCGGGAGGATGGCACCGGCGGGAAGAAGGGGGAGGAGGGCACACGTCTCACTTGCTCACTGCTCTTCCAGATCCGCGTTCTGCTTCCTCCCACAGCAGCGGTGCAATGTGCTTTCTTGCGATTATTTTAAAAACAGAGAGGGAGAGAGAATGAGTGGCGGCTAGTGGCTCCTGAGGGTGAAGTGTGAGCGCCGGGTGGGGAGGACAGGGGGGCCCTGGCAGGTGGCGTTCCCGAGAAGCAGAAGGGGGGGGGTCCGGCGAAGGGTCCAGGTGCAGGGGAGCTGCCTCTCACTGACCATCTGCCTTAGATTTCTTTGGAGCGGATTTCCTTGGAAGGAGCCAAGAAAAAGGAAAGAGAGCGTCAGCATGGGTCCCAACGACTCTGGGAAACCGCGCAGTGGGCCTCCCTGCGGACCTCTGGCTGGTGCCTCACATGTGCTCCCACCCCGTGTGCAGCCCCTCGAGGCTTTGGAAGGGACGAGCCACACTGTTTCTATTGCTGCTTCCTCCCAGTAGCTGTCTACCCTCAGTCTTAGAAAGTTCCAGAAAGGGGCTTCCTGCTTACATTTCCGGAGAGGACATGGGCCGCTTGCTGGCTGGCTTGGCGCCAGAGCTGTCTTTACTGGTTTCTGAAAGGAAAAATGGAGTGGTAAGCAGCTCAGCGAGGTGGGCTGTCTGGCCGACTTCAGCCGCACAGTGGCCCACAGGCCAAGAGGCCAAGAGCGGAGGGGACAGGGACACCCTGCCCACAGCCTACAGAAGCGTGCCGAGCGAAGGCCACTCCTATGTGCGCCACCTCCTCCCACAGTCGCCCAGCCTCATGGTTCCCTGGAGTAAAGCCCGACAAGGCATGCTGGGTCGTCCATTCTCCACCCTGTGCCCTGGACTTGGGCCTTGCCCTGTACCTCCTACTTGAAGTTCTCATGGTCCCCCGTCTCACCTCAAACACCCTTGGCCGGCTTCCCCCGAACCCGCAGATGAGGCAAGGTGCCCCCCCCCACCCCGAGACCCGTCCATAGCACCCACCCTAGGTCATCTCCCCCAACCGTGAAGCTCTAAAGTCCAGCCTGGAGCCAGGTCGCCCCACCTCACGTGATGCTGGCCCAGGAGCCTCCCGCACGACACCCACCTTGCAACCACCTCACTTGGGTGGCTGGGCCATAGCCCTTCTCATTGCGGGCGGCGATGCGGAAGATGATGGCGGGCTTGGTGGTGTAGTCGATGTGGGCGTTGGAGAGGCTGGATGACTGCACCAGGCAGGACGGGCTGGGCCCGCAGTACACCCGCATGAAGGCCAGCTGGGCCGGCGTGGAACTCTTGGGCTCACCACCGGCCTGCGAGCTCTGGATGGCCAGGTACACCGAGTACTCGATGATCTTGCCGGAGGTCACAGACGGCGGCTCCCACGTCAGGTGCGCACCATCTGGACTCTAGAACCAAGGGGCCAGGGGTCAAGCCGTGCCGCCTGTGGCCTCTGTGACTCTCTCACTCGGCCTCTCCAGGGACAGATAAGTGGGAACACTTTGTGGCTCCCAAAACCGACTGGTTGTACCTCAGCCCTCTTCCTGACGCAACTGAGCTCTGGGGACATGGCCTCGCCAGTCCCGGCCCGGGGGGCAGCCTGACCGAACGACAAAGTAACACGAACAGGGGCTCAGAGCACCGCCTCCCTTCACCTGCTCTGCCATCGACTGTGGGACTTGGCCCTGAGCCTCTTGGTGCCTCAGTTTCCTCATCAGATCCCAGACCTCCTCAGGACGTTGAAGGATTGGATAAAGAAAACACGTTGAACGTGGCAGGTAAGAGACCCTCAGTGAACACTAGCTGCCACGTTAGAGAGAAGGAGAACGAAGACGGGGAGGGAAGGAACTGACCCTTGTCAACCCAGCAACCGGCAACAGGACAGAAGCCGCAGCCCAGACCCAGCCGGCCCAGAAGGGAGCGCCCGGCGGACGGGCTTGGGCTCGGCCTGCTGTATTCCAGCTGGGCACAGGGTTACCCCACGGCAAGACTCACTTTGCTGATTTTAATGGCACAGGGGGCCCCCGGGAAACCAGGCAGACACGTCTTAAAGGCTGAGATCTCGCTGAAGGGTCCCCGGCCGCAGGCATTGATCCCGGCCACGCGGAACTTATAGGCTGTGCCCGGCTGCAGCTCCTGCTTCTTCAGCTGGTTATAGTCGGGGACGGTGCCCGAGTCATCCTGGGGACAGAGGCCGGGAGGACAGGAAGAGGGAGAGAGAAAAAGGTGACCTAAGCCCCATCGCCGAGAGAGCAGCTCTGGGGTTGGGCTCCAGGGCCGGCAGCACTCTCCCGCCCTGGGGATGGGCCAGGAGGGCAGCAGTAGGGACAGGGGACTGACAATAGGCTTTGTGGCGGCTCTAAGGGCCCTGGGAGAAAGAGGCATGTGGAGAGGACGCCACATATGGCTGTCCTTGGGCTGGCCCCAAGGCGGACGGTGCCCTGGGGAGCTTCAGAAGGCGCCGTGAGCCCCAACACCTGCCTCATGGCCAGCCCACACCCCGCCCCCGCCCAAGGGCACCGGCTCCCGGGAACACTTACGTCAGAAGGGATGGCGTCATCTGGTGGCAGGAAATAGTGTGTCACCATTACATTGGTACCCTTAATGACCCCCACATCAAACCACTGGTTCTCCTTCTTCACAGGCGCCTTGCTGGGTGGGGGTGGCAAGTCCGGCTTCTGAAAGACAGGAAGGAGAGCTGAAACCCTCGGCCTTCGGGCCCCGGATGCCACACCCCTTGAAACCCCGCCGCACCAGACTCACCACACCCAGGGACTCGATGCCATTGGCCACTTCAGTCAGGGTGGCCGCGGCCTGCAGCTTGGCGGGGCTGGCCACCACCACCGGCTGTGGAGCCACAAACGTGTTGGACGGAGCCAGGCCTGTGAGGGAGAGAGACATCCGTGGGGGCGGCCCGGAGAGCCCACTCGTGTGCGGGGAGCTCCTCCCCTCGGGCCAGACCGCCCTGGCCGCGTCTGCGGGAAGGGCCCAGACACTCGGCCCCCACCGGCGCGGTGCCCTCACACTCACTCTCGGTGGCCGTGGGGGGCAGCAGGGCCACGGTGCTGGGCACGGCCGCGGCCAGCTCGTTGAGGCAGTTGCCCTCAATGGCTGGGTCGTTGAGGCTGTCGGCGGGGGCCAAGGCCTCGGTGGGGAGGTGCTGCTGCTGCTGCGCCTGCGCCTCCTGTAGTTGCTGCTGCTGCACGAGTGCCGCCAGCTCCTGCTGCGTCAGCACGATGGGGATGGTGGCGGCCTGGCCCTCTTGGCCCTCGGCCGACAGGTGGCCCAGCTCCGCCTGCGTCACAGCCGCTGCCGCCTCGGACGTGTCCATGGGCTCCCCGGTGCCTGCTCCAGGGGGTGGGGGTGGGGGGTGGGAGCGGGGACGCCACTCAAGAGGAGTGCTGGCCCAGGCGGCCCAGCCCCGCGCCCTGGCTTGCCCTGTCCCGGCCAACTTGGGCCACCCTGGCAGGGAGCCAGGCCCCCTCTTCTCAGGCAGCCCACCCCCTCCCAACGTGGTGGCCACCCGGTCAGGGCAGTCAGCGGGAGACTGCAGAGGCCCACCCTGGCCTTGCTCCTCCTGAGGGGCCCACCTTCCCCTCAGGGCTCCTGGCTGGCCTGGACGGTCAGCGCTCAGCCGCCCCCCCACCAGCACCTACCCATGACGGCCTGCTGCGCGGCCTGGAGCACTGCCTGGATAGCCAGGGCCTGGGCCTCCTCCGTGGCTGCGGCCTGGGCAGCCGCTTCAGCGGCAGCAGTGACTGCCAGCTCCTCGGGGGTGAGCCCCGTCACCATGAGGGTGGTGGTGCCCGCCTGGGCCTCGGCCATCAGCTCTTGGGGGAGGGACAACTGGTCTACGTCAGACTGTGTGGGTGGGGGCGGCTGGACCACCACCGTGGCCACCACGGCTGAGCTGGCAGGCTCCTGGCCCGGAGATGGGTCCCCTGTACTGCTCAGATCCACGGCGGCCTGGAGCTCAGGGGTCTGGGAGGCTGACAGGACCTCGGCGGACTCCCCCAGCAGGGGTGTAGAGGCGGGCTGCAGGAGTTGCCGTGGCGGCAGCTGCTGGCGAGGCCCTGGCGAGGCCTGGAGTTCCTCTGGGGGCTGCAGGATGTCAACAGCAGAGAAGGGCATGTCAGAAGTTTCTGTGTTGGCTATGGTCACTGTTATCGTGGCCGGGATGGGGACTTCGGTGGTCAGAGCCCCTGGGGTAGCCTCAGTCACTGATGAGATCTTCTAGAAAGGGAGAGAAGCCCCCGTCAGAGGGGAGAAGAGAGTGGCCAGAGCCGGGCAGCCTTCATCTTTCCCTGGAGACCTGGATTTTCACTGTCCGCGGCCAGCCTCACCCCACCTGATTAGGAGTGCAGCAGGTGACCAAGCCATGGTGGGGGGCGCACAAGACAGGAAACCCTTGGGACCCTCTGGCTGATTTTCACCCATCCTCAGAGAGGCATCTCGGTCTAGCCAAAGAGACACTCTGGCTCCTGCCATGTCACTCTCACTGGTTATAGCCAAATGACAAGCCACGGGAAACAGCTACAGAAATCAAAGCATCTCCAAGACGCTGGGGCCTGGAAGATCCCTGCCTCCTGCCCAACGATGCCCCAGGCAGCACTTTTACGGTCAGGAAGAAGGACTCGGGAAAAGGGATGAGGAGCGGTTCAGTGCCTGGGGCAAGGGTGACACCTGGTGTCCGAGCCTGGAACCGCACAGACCGGAAGTGCAGTGGGCAGCAGGGAGGGGGCACGGGGTACCTCCGGGGGTTCTTACCGGCACCGAGGGGCCTGGGACGGGCGTGGACTGTGTTACAGTGGTCACAGCCCGTGTCAGGGTGGAGGACACGGTCGTTGTAACGGCACTGGAGCTGGTGATGTTCACACTGTCACCCTGGGTGCTCTCCACCTCTCCCTGGTCACTGGCGGCTGGTGGGGGATCTGGGAGGGAGGGGAGCAAGCAAAGAGAAGTGTGACAAGTACTAGGCTAGCAGGAGCCCCAAGGCCTCTAGCCAGCTTTGCCCCCAGGGAACACAGTTTCTTGCAGTACCCCAACCCCTGCTGGGACACCGAGCCCCAAGAACTCTAACTATTAGCTTCTGGCCGAGCGGCTCTTCTAGTCACTACTCCCCTCAGCCTCTGAGCCCAGGGCTCTGGGAGACAATGCACGCCAGGCCGGTGTCTTTACTCACCTTGGTTCGAGCTCATGTTGGAGGTGACGGTGGTGGCCGTGTGCGTGGTGCCTGTCTCATGCGTCTCACAAGGCGGGTTGGAGCAAACCCTCTGCGTCGGGAACGGAGCCAGCAACGAAGCAGCAGCCTGGGCGGCGACGGTGGCCGGTGCTGCCACCTCCAAGCCGGACTCTAGGGTCCTATGGGAGGGAACGGTATCGGGGAGCAGGGCGCCCATGCCGACTGACATGGTGGTGCCAGTGGAAGTGGTCTGGTGCGTCTCGCAGGGGCGGCCGGCAGGGGGCTGCTGCCCTCCCTCGGGCTGGCCCGCACCCCCACCGGAGGTGGCCGTGGTGGGTGTGTGCGTGGTGCCCGTCTCATGGGTCTCGCAAGGCGGGTTGGAGCAGACCCGCTGGGCGCTGCCTGCGTTCGAGGTAGTGGCGGTGTTGGTGGTGCCCGTCTCGTGGGTCTCGCAGGGTGGGTTGGAGCAGACTTGGGTCACGGTGGCTGAAGGGCACAGCAGTGCCTCCAGGGCTGGCACAGTCACGGTGGCGCCTGGTGAGCTCTCGTATGCGGGCATGGGGGTCCCCCGGGCCTCGCCAGGCTCCCCGGCCCCCATGGCAGAGCGGACCGTGGTGGGCGTGTTGGTTGTGTGGGTGTGGTGGGCCTCCAGCTGGCGGCCAATGGAGACCAGCGGACTCAGGCCAGCCATGGGACTGTCCTTGCCTCCGAGAATGCTGGCTCGGACCTGGCCGCTCACAGGGGCCAGCTGCACGAAAGCTGAGCACGGGGTCACGCCGGTGGCCATCACAGTCATGGTGGCGCTGGTCACGCTGGTCTGGCGGGTTTGGCACAATGGCTTGACAGACATCTGGGCTCCCTCTGATGCCCCAGCAGCCACACCAACCCGGAGCACAGCGGGCGCGGTGCTGGCCACGCAAACACGCCGCACATCCCGCTGCTGGCCGGCGCCGATGCTGGACACGGCGGTGGTGGCGGTGCTGGTGGTGCCTGTCTCGTGCGTCTCGCAGGGCGGGTTGGAGCAGCTGTGTGGCCCGGCCATGTTGGACGTAGCGGTGGTGGCTGTGTTAGTGGTGCCTGTCTCGTGCGTCTCACACGGCGGGTTGGAGCAGACGCGGACCACGCTGCCATTCTGCGGCCCAACCGTCGAGGTCACAAGGGAAGCAGCTGCCTCCTGTCTGTCACAGACGAATTGCACATGGGCGGGCTGTGGCTGCCCCCCAAGGTTAGCTACGACAGTGGTGGTGGCCGTGTTAGTGGTGCCCGTCTCGTGCGTCTCGCAGGGCGGATTCGAGCACACCAGGGTCACGGTGCCTGGCTGTACCTCTCCCTGACCCGAGTCGGCGATAGTGACAGTGGCCGTGGGCTGTTCTGTAGTAGGTGAGGCTAGAATGGACACAGGCAGGTCGTGCACAGGCTGAGCCTCGACACCACTGGGTGCCGTGATGAGAGTCACCTGGGTTGGCTGGGAGACAGGCTGGGGGAGAGAAAAGATGGGAAGGGTTACTTCTGCAACTTCCTATCTGTCCCTCTGCCATCCTACAGCGTCACCCGTAATGGCGGGGACCACCGGCTCAGGTTCTAAAGCAACAGCCCTGAGAAATATTCAGGACCTGTTTTCCCTCTGAGCTCCAGACACTGAGTGGCTCAGGGACCAGACTAGAGGCACGGCTTTGCCTCCAAGACCATGGAGACTGGGAAGGGGCTGTGGGGTTGTGTCAGCGGCTAGGGCCAGCCCTTGGTCATGGAGGGAGCCCCGCTGACCCTGTACCTAGACGCTTTGCCACTTGCATGAATTCAGCTTAAAATATATGAAAAAAATAAATACCGTGTACGCAAAAACAAACTGTTGAATCGTCTACATCGTAAGAGAAAACGTCTGCCCCACGTTCAAAATCTAGAACTGCTTGAGACCTAACCCACTGACACGACAGTTGTAGTGACCAAGAGTCACAGCGGTACAGCAGGGACGCGCCCCTGCCCCTCCCCCAGGCCACGCAGGTGAGGAAAAGAGGGCCTGGACCCCAAGAAGCGGAGCAGAAGCCTTAAGCTGTGGCTCATCCGTGCACACACGCACGCGAAGGCCGGGACATGTGCCCGCCCGCCCCCTGCACTCTCCCAGCCATCCTACCTGCATGGTGATGGTGGGGGTGCTGAGCCCGCCGGCCGCCGTCAGCGTGGTCTGAGCTGCCGACACGGTGATGGCAGTGGGGTTGATCACTTGGCTTGAGAGGGTGGCGATGGTGCCCAACGTGGTGATGGGCGTGGCCAGGGAGGCGCTTGTACTGTGGCCTCCGGCTCCGGCAAGGCTAGTGGAAACGGTGCCCGTCACTGTGCCGAGGGTTGTGACGCCTGGAGGGGGAAGGGGCAGGGGTGGGGTGAGGCCCGCACCTGGGGCCTTCCCCCTGCCAGCAGCTTTTCCCTCCCGTGGGGACAGGACACGGGGACAAGAGCACACCCCAGGGGAGAAGAAGGCTGGGAGCGGGCTCCTCTCCCAACGGAGGGGCAGGCCCGGCATCTAGGCTACGCACCTGTGGTGCCCTTCACAACCAATGTGGTGACAGCTGGCTTGACGGCAGAGACCGTGACAGGAGTGACCAGGCGGACCCCCCCCATGGGCACGGTGCGGAGGATGGTGCCCGGCTGTCCAGGGGCCCCTTTCAGCACCACCTGCAATGCCAGAAGAGAGCGCCCCCATGTCACTCCAAGGTTGTTCAGACCTGTGCTGCCCCCTCCCGGGCCCCTCAGGAGAATGAGTGTGGCCTGCAGGGATCCTGGGCTGGATGCTAGGGCCAAGGGGAGGGTCGGGCACACCTCACCTGAGTCACTCCTTGCTGCCCGTGCCCAGTGGCGATCTTAGGGACAGCGGTGATGATTTTGGCCGGTGCTCCAGTTCCTGAAGTCATCACTTTGGTGGTGATGATGGTGATGGGGGACTTGATGCCAGGACTGCTGGTCACACCTGGGCAGGAGAGGGGTGGTTTGGCCTCAGGGGCCCCTCGCCCATTTCCCTCATGCTCTCTTGCAAGCAGTGCCTCCCACCCACCACCCCTTGATCCAAACCTGGTACCGACTGTAACCACACCCCTGCCACCTCCCTACAAACGTGAGGCAAGGGAAAGAAGAGAGCGCGCCACAGCCCGGCCCCCCGCCCGCACAGCCTTGGCCTCCTGACGTGGCTCCTCATCTGGGGCCCGGGAGAGGCCCCCACCTGTGGCGCCAGCCTGCGTGATGATGGCCGACATGGGGATGGTCTTGATGATGGTGGTTGTGCCAGGCTTGGTGGTGCTCGGGGACACACTGCTGATGCCCAGGATGGTGGGCTTAGTCCCTGCCCCGCTGGCCTGCGTGGTAGTGATGATGGTGGTGGGCTTGCCGTCTGCTGAGGTCACCAGCTTCAGGATGGTCCCGGCTGGCAGCGGCCCTTTGGTCTGCAAGAGCAAGACAAGTACATGTCACCATTGCCAGGATGGGCAGCTCTCTACTGGTGGCCCGAGGGGCTCCGGGAGGGTTCTGAAGACAGGGAGAGGCGGGATCAAGCCGTGGGACGGTGTGAGCCGCAGAGTGTGAAGAGATCTTCCCTAGACAGGGACAGGGGTTCTTCCTGCGGCCCAGAGCCACCCCGTTGTCAGTCAGGGGCCCAGAGCCGCCCCGTGTCTGGGTCTGGGGCCCAGAGCCGCCCCGTGTCAGAGTCTGTGGCCCCAGAGCGTACCTGGATGATCTGAGTCACTGGGCCCGTAGATGCCTGGCCCGTGACTGCCGAGGTCTGAACCGGTTTGGTCTGAACCACTGACATCACTTTGCCCAGGTTGGAAATCTGAAAAGGAAAGGATGGAGCAAGGAGTGATCTGGAAACCCAGCAAGAGCACAGCCTGGGTCGGGCCTCTCCTGTTACAGGCAGCCTACTGACGCCCGTCACTCACCAGAGCGCTGCCTCCAGGGACGGAGATGGGGCTCTTCACCAGGGTGATGGTCTTGGTAACTCCACCCACCACGGTGGTCACCACCTGGGCTTGCTGGGCCACTGTCACAGTCCCTGACTTGTGGACCGTGATGATGGGGCGGGTGGATGTGTTGGCAGCGGAAGAGACCGACGTTCCCACCTGCGCGGCTGCGGTCTTCAGCATCCGGGTGGCGGGGTTGCTCACCTTGAAGGGGCGGAGACGGGCCATGAGCGGGACAGAGAGGCCGCGCCCCCGCCCAGAGTGGCCCTGCAGGCCCGTGGCTCCCTCCCCATCTGCTTGTCTACCTGCCCACACCCACCCACCTGCAGAACGGCTCACAGTGCTTTCCCTTTCCTTTTTTTTTTTTTTTTTAAAAGATTTTATTTATTTATTTGTCAGAGAGAGAGGGAGAGAGAGCAAGCACAGGCAGACAGAATGGCAGGCAGAGGCAGAGGGAGAAGCAGGCTCCCTGATGAGCAAGGAGCCCGATGTGGGACTCGATCCCAGGACGCTGGGATCACGACCCGAGCCAAAGGCAGCCACTTAACCAACTGAGCCACCCAGGCGTCCCGCTTTCCCTTTCCTTTAGTGAAGCAAGGGAGGACACCGAGAGCGCACGCCTAGCCTACGGCTGTCACGGCCCCGTGGAATGGCTTGTTCCACAGCCCACGGCAAGCAGCCAGGAGGGGCCAACAGCCCCACAGCTCGCTCCAAAGCCTGGGAGGGGCAATCACTGTCTTACCCCAGTGCCCAGAGGCCCTACCACAAGGCTGGCGGCTCAGAGCCGGGCCCGAGACACACTCACCATGACTGGCGAGGAGGCCACCTTTACAGTGGCCGGGAGGGTGGTGGTGCCAGGTGTCACGGCCACAGTCTTGACGATGGTGGTGCCTGCCGGGACGCTCAGCACTGTGGGCGCTGAGGAAGGAGGGATCTTCTGTGTGGCGGCGGCGGCGGCTGCCAGCGCAGCCATGCCGCTCATCTGGGGGCTACTGCCGATCACCTGCAGGGGCATGGGGTGCATGAGCCCGGGCTAGGGGAGGGCAGCAGAAACCTCGGCAGAATCCAGCTCAGCCCAGCCTAGGGAGCCTCCGCCCGGGGCCCAGCGTTCCTCCTGCCAGCACCCCTCGGCTCCAGCCTGGCCTCCCACCACCGGCCAGGCGTGGCGACCCAGCAGTACGCGTCTGCCAGAAGCTCGAGATCTTTTCTGAAGACCATGAAGCCAGACACGGCTCCCTCCTCCGGGCCCGGGGTCAGACCCTGGCTGGCTAGATTCTCCCCTTGGGCTTCTGAACAAGGAAGTTCACATTTAAGATGCCCTTGCGGGAGCCAAATACACATGGCAGTGAGGTCTTTTTGAGGCATCAGCTTATAAATTTTGATTAACTCCGTAATAACAGGTGGCCTCCTCAGTGCTCCGCAGCCAAGAAAAGCCCTGGCTGGGGGCAGCCTTAAGCCCTGTAAGCGCCATCGATCTCCAGGATGTCCCGCCCTCTCCAACAGCTCCTTACCGTCCCCTGGGCACTCTGCGTTGGCACAACCATTCGCACGCCTGCGGGAAGGGAGGTCACGGTGACGGGGGCTTTCCCAGCCTGGCTGGCAGGTCGCATGGTGACCAATGGGGTTCCTGTTGTTGCCTGAGGACCGGTGACTTTGAGAACAGCAGGCACACCTGGTGAGGGAAGCAGGGGGCCTCTGCTGCGTCCCGTGTGCAAATGCGAAGTGCTTCCGCGACCCGTTTGTGCATCAGGTCTGGTCCTCCCAGACCTGTTCAGGAACGGTGTCCACAGGTATGGCCGAGCCGGTGCGCGTGACCATCAGGCATGTGGTCCTCGGCAGCCCTCAGTACGGCTGACCATGTCCCTGTGGGCTAGACCCTGCCCTCAGGCCCACTGCCAGGCCCCCAGCTCACCTGGAGTCCTGGCTGCGGCGGGCACGGAGATGGAGCTGCCAGGCACCGTCGGCAAGACCTGGATGGTGGTGGTGGTTGGGGGCGCGCTGGCAGCCTGGGGCAGGAGCGTGATGCCTACTTGGGTCAGCGGCTGCACGGCAGGTGCGGCTGCTGCGGGGGCAGGGCTCTTGGGAGGGTTGGCAGGCACAGACGGGACTGGATTGGGTGTGGGGGAGGTGGCGGTAGCAGCCGTGGCAGGAATGTCATATTTCTGGAGCTGCAGAAGGTAACTGTCGGCTGTCGCCACTGCCCCCCAGCTCACCTCCAGGGAGTTCGTGTTGGCTCGTACCAGCTGTACCCGGGCCGGGGGTGGTGGCTTTTCTGGGAGAGAGCAGAGCCGGTGAGAAGGGGCCGGAGCATAAGCTCCTCCCGCAACCCCCACCCCAGGCTCAGCTGCAGGCGGTGGCCTATGGCCCGACCCAGAGGCCTTACCTGTCTCCAGGTACCAGAGGTCCTTACAGCAGACCTGGTTGTTCCAGGCCTTTCGGTAGCCATCGCGCCCACTCCATATGTACAGCCGGGTGTTGATGGCCACGGCACAATGGCCAGCTCGGGCCCGAGGGATATTGTCCTCCAGCGTGTCCATCAGGATGGTCTCCCAGGCCATGGTATCTGGGGAGGGTGGGAGGGGAGGTCAGCAAAGGGACAAAGGAACCCATAACCCCCAGCGGCCCTTTGGCCTTTCGCTGTCAGGGATGGGGAATTAAAAACCAGGAAGTTATCAAAGATTACTAAATTAAAAACAAACAAATGGAAAATAACTCAGTATGGCAAAAGGCCCGTGGAAGATGAAATTAGAAACCACAAACTACAAACTGGCGGGACTGTCTGAAACGCACAGCCAAAGGTTTCAATTCTTGCACATCAAACACAAGAGCCTACAGAAAGAGACGGGCAAAGAGGAACGCGAGCTACGGAGAAGGCGACAGGAGGATCTAAGGAGAAATACATACCCTCACGGAAAACAAGAGAAACGCAAACTGAAACCACAAGGCGCCTGGCAGTTTGGCTCCCGCGCCTACTGCACCCAGGGCTGGGGGGGCGGCGGGGGCGGCTGTCACCTCTCGGGCTCGCCAGAGAGAGGGCACAGGCACCACCGGGGGCACCTACGTGGCTGCGGCCTCTGCGGGACGGCTTGGCAACGGCCTTCGGCAGCGACTCTACCTCTAGGTGTTTACCCTTCAAATGCACTTGCACGTGGGCGAGAACAGTGCAAGGATACTCACGGAGCCGCGTCTGTGCAAGTTTCAACACCTGGATAGCAACTCAAAAGAATGAGGCCGCTCGGCGTGCGGGGATGGGAGCGGACGGTCTCCAAGACCGAGTGCACCGAAAGGGCCGGGCTTGGCGCCGCACTGCGGGGAGCAGGCTGCCATCGTGTGTGTTTAGAAAGGAGCCCGCCGACGATGCTCGTATAGGCAGAGGAGTCCCTGTGGGGCGGGTGACAAGCCACCAACGTGGCTGCCTCCACAGAAGGGGAGGCGGGAGGGAGGCTCTGCCCCGTCACACTTTTGTACTTTCGGAGGCCGAGCCGTGTGCAGGAGAAGAGCCTACGCAAAACCTGAAAGCGGGGACACCCCTCTGAGCGCTCTGGCCAGTGGCTACTTCTCGTGGATTCTAGAGGCCGGGCCTTAGAAGCAGCTTCGCTCCCTGCACAGCCCACACAGCTCTCGGGGCTGAGGAGGGCCGGCCTCCCGCAGCCCTCCGCAGGCCACGCCGAGCCCGGGGAGGCCATACCCAGGTTGAGGCAAGCCAGTGTGTTGGTACACTTCCACTCCTTCTCGTGTGTGGCCACTTTGACGTCATCCATGACGAGAGGCACCCAGCCACCAAACACGTACATTCTGGGACGAGGGAGGGAAGAGTAGGAGAGGGTTGTGGAGGAGGTGCCAAGCTAGAGGCCACCTCTTCCATCCAGAAAAGTTCTAAACACGCTTGGTCCTCCAGCTCTCCCCAGGAGAGTCCCCCAGGACGCATGGACGCTCTTGATGCGGGCCTCTCCATGGTGGCTCAGCCCTCACAAGAACTGCGTCACCTCTGCCACACAGTGCTGCTACTCAGCTCATCTAAAGCTCACCGCCGTCCCCATCGCTCTCATAGGCACTTTGGGACCTTGGCGTTGACAGACGCCCTGCTGCTCACGGAGAGGACCTAGAACGGTCTGCGCCCCTCTACCCCGAGTCTGTCTTGGTCTCCCGGGGTTGTCATGTAAAGACGGGACTGCGGCAGGCCAGCCCAGCCAAAAGAGGCCTCCCGGGGCCTCAGGAAGCGCAGGAACAGAACGGAGGCCTGTGGGGGTGGGGCGGGCCAGGCGGGAAGACGGCGGCCACTCACTTGTTTCCGATGGTCGTGGCTGAGTGAAGGCTCCGAGGGAGAGGGGCCACCCCGCTGAGACTGGGCTTGTTCCACGTCAGAGTGTCTGCGCAGAGTGATGGACAAGGGACGGTTACTACATGAGGTCGGACGTGGGCCCTCGGCCCCGCAGGACCTTCCCCGGATGCAGGGAAGGCTCTGGAAGGCGGGTGCGCACCAAGCCCAAGAACTCCGTGCCAGGCCTCCCCACGGCCCCCAAGAGGCCTTCTGGTCACCGGGCTCTGGCATTTCCCACACTCAGTTCGCTATCCTGTCAAGTGCTGCTCTCAGGGCTCTGGTACGAGCCAAAGGTGCACCCCCAAAGGCACTGCATTTGCCACCCTGCTCACCCCAAAACACGTGTCCGTCCCCGCCCCCGGTGCTGCCAGGAACTTCACTCCGGGGAAACGGTTTCCTTTGAGAGCCAGCACTGACCTCCAGGACGCCGTGCCCCCGCAGAGATGTGTCCTCAGCTGTCCAGTACCCTTGGCCTTCCTTCAGGCCAAAATCTGACCTCCTTTCAACCACTCCCGACCCCAAGCGAGCCCCACCCTGGCTATGGGCCTCTCTCAAAACGCCGTGTGACCGCGAGAGACCACAGCGCGTCATTCCCGTTACAGGCTGATCCCTGACGAACTGACAGGGATGGACGCTGCCTCATCCAGCCTGTTCCAGCCTAGAAAAGGCCATCACCCCCTCGCCCCTGCTCCCAGGCTGCCCCTCCGAGGACGGAGGGCTGAGCGGCGCGCTCACCCCATCTCTGCACGCCGCGCCCCCAAGTCCAGTGTGCTCTGAGCCTGCCCCCCGGCAGCTTACCGATGTCCAGGGTCCAGAGGTCCCCCAGTCTGCAGCCGCTCATCCCTCCGTAGATCACGAGCTTGGACTTCTTATTGTCCTTCTCAGTGTAGACCACAGCAGTGTGTGACTCCCGGGGGGGAGGCAGGACACCATACGTGATGGGGATGTCCCAGGCCACCACGCCGGAGCCTGGCCGTAGTTCCAGGATGTACAAGTCATTCAGGTACCTGGAGAAGGAAAGGCAGTCATGGCAAGCCCCCCGACTCCATGCGCCAGCGGCCTCACCAACTTCTAGGGGCGAACAGCAGACTCCCTGGGAGACAAAGGGGGCTAGGTCCAAATGAACTCCAAGTTCTTCTCCCCTCAGCTCTGAGAAGTGACTACCAGAAACTCCCAAGGATGAGTGTCCCAAGGATGAGTGGGAGTCCGAGAGGAGCCATGGGATGGCGTGCGCTAGGCTGCCTTGCACACGAAGCTGGCCATCGTACTAGGGCCTCCTGGGGTCAAAGCAGGAGCCCATCTGGGACCACCTTCAGCCTTCAGAAAGGCACTCGGTCACCGGCTTTGGAAAATACCATCGCTAAGTCTGCAGGCAGCAAAGGCCAGGAAGGCGAGCGCCAGCTCTAACGTGGTGGGAGCAGGCACCAGCCGAGGGCGAGGTGGGCCTCTATGGCCTGGCCCGGCCCTCCTGCTCTCCCACCTCCACCGGGTTCGAGACCTCGGAGGCAGAAAGGCCCTACCGGGCATGGAGTGTGACCCTCTCGTTTCACTGAAGAAAGGGAAGAGGCACGGCCACCCTCAGGACTCCAGATGGAAGACGACAAAGCCTCACCTCGGAATGTTGTTCTTGGGGTCCTCACTGTCGTTGGCCAGGCCCCCAAACAGGTAGCACTTATTGCCCACAAGGGAGAAGCTGTGCCCGAGCCGAGGACATGGGGGCGGGCCGTTTTTGGGCGTTTTTGCTTTGAGTCTCTTCCATTCCCATCGGCTTGCCTGCAAAATCAAGACTTGGGGGTCGAACCCAGGACGGGCTGGTCCCCGTCAAGACCCCGGGCCATTTATTGTGGAGGGGGGCGGCGGCGGGGGAGCGGGGAGGGAGGCCCAGGGCCGCCGCTGCCGCAGGCAGGCGAGCACGCTGCGGGCTGCTACCTGCAGCTCGTAGAGGTCGTTGCTGTACTTCCCGTACTCCACCATCCCGCCGAACACCAGCAGGCGCGTCCCATCGCACACGAAGCCATAGGCTGCGCACCCGGGGGGAATGTCCCCTCTCACGGCTGGGATGAACCACTGGTTAGTCGCTGGGCACGAAAAGGAAGCAGGAGTCAGAACACTTCAGAAAGCCTTCGGAACCAGAACCCCCACTCCTCTTACTCCCCAAACCCAGCAGCCTGGGAAACGTGCTCTGAGAAAGCGGGGGCCCCTCCAAACGGCCTGCAATTGCCCGGCTTCTCATCAAGGTCGTCTTCATAAGCAGGAAGTCACTAACCAAGATAATTCATTAGCTTCTGGGAATGTAGCCACTGACTTCCTTTCCCTACCGCTCAGGGGGTCCGATATTGGAATGAAATGTCCGACACCCAAAGCACCCCGTCAGGGGCCCTGTACGCCTCTTCCTGGGGGCGCAGGGCTACACCCCTAAGTGGCTGGAAGCGTGACCGCGGCCCGCCAATGCCCGCCCTCCCTGCAGGCGCTGGCAGCCGGAGGTGTGCGGGTGAGGGAGGCCCATCAAGGCAGCTCGGCCCACCAGCTGAGAAGGGGGGGCAAGAATCAATCTCTGCTGGGGTCTCCTGGGGGACGGACCATGCCACCCACCTCTCCCCTCATGTCACACCCGTACCAATCTCGAATATTCCTGAAAGCCAGAAGTGGTGGCTACAAAAGCTTCCCCCAGATCCACACCTCTAAGTGGGAGTGAGGACGCCACCACCTCAGAAGAGGGTGAAAGAGAAGCCCACCCCACCCCCACGCCACTCCTCCCCTCACTTCGGGCTCGCACTCTGGGTTCAGCTCCCCACGTGCCTGCCATGCCAGGGCCTCCCAGAAAAAGCAGAAGGCACAAATCCTCCTCAGAATTTTGAGGGATCCTTTCCATTACACGTTACATAAAGGACCGTCCCTAAACGACACGCTACACTCCAAACACCTAAAACCGGGCGTCAGACACCATCTCTTCTGCCCGTCAACTGCTTTCGGTCCACCCTGAGCGGCCACGCCCAAGCGTGATGGGGGCGGTCCTGGAGTCCGAGCGGGCGTTAGGATCGTCCCAGGCTTCTCAGCCTTTCTGGGAGGGCACGTACTTGGGTCACTGACACATCTCCCCTACACACTAGGGGACAAGTCCCATGTCCACATCGGCCAAAGGGCCTGCCCCCATCTAAAAGCACACGGTGCCTCCAGAATCACAGCCTTTCCTGGGGCAGAAGGGCCCCGTCGCTCCCGCCTCCACACCTGCTGCAGGTTGATTTGGAACAGGCTGTGATCCTGCCCCACCCCACCCACCCCTCCTCCATGGTTCAGCAGAGTCACCTGGACTCCAGGAGGCCCAGCAGCAAAGCCTCCCCCGCCTTCCCGGTAGAGGGGCCGGCCCGGGCCCCAGCTCACCGCCTCACTGTCATGCCCACTGTGAAAAACAGACCAAAAACGGCAGCAGCCTTCAACAACCGTGCGCACACTGCAAGACACAGAGTTCCCTCCCAACTACGCAGGGAAAAGCCGGAGGAAGACCTGGAAGCTGCCCGGGCCAAGTCCCCTCCATGGATGAAGGAACAGAGCCCAAGAGGAGAAGTGACTTACCTGAGGTCACAGAGCAAAAAAGAGGCACAGGCAAGGACCCTGTCGCTGACTTCAAAGCCATCGCTAGATACTCCGCCAAGGGCCCCACATGCCCAGAGCCATGGGCCGCCCTCTCTCACCTGAGCACTTGGCGCTGCCGCATGTGGCTACAGGGCCATCACAGGGCCACTAGTAGGGGCTGTGACAAAGCCACACGAGCCTTCCCATCACGCTCTAATCAGTGGCCCAGCTGGCCAGGCTAGAAGGAACCGGTGCTGTCTCAAGAGCTCACGACCGCCAGCTCCTTTAAGAGGAGCTGATCTCGTTCTAGAACACTCGGGGCAGGGGCCCTCCACACCGCTGTCAAGAGCCGCAGCCCCGTCCCGCCCACGCGACGGCACAGCGCTGCCTCACGCACTCGCATTATCTCCAGCTCATTGAGTGGGGCACCTTGACACCCAGCCTCCGGGTCCCACATTCTCCGTCCGCCACGGCCTGTCAGTGCGCTCGGCAGGGAGGAGAGGAGGCCACCTGCACACGGGACCCTCCGTGGGACAACCAGAAACATGACTCCATCTTCTCCCTCCCCAGCAAGCCCGAAAGCGCAGCTTAGGGGTCTCATCAGCGGCCGCAGCCCTGTCCCCACACGCTGCCTCCATCTGTGGTGGCTCCCATCAGCCCTTAAACGCGTCACCCCAGGAGACTGGGCCACACAGCTGGGCACACGCAGTCCACCGGTGGCGTCGGCTCCGCTCTGTCATGCCAGGGCGCTTCCTGCGTGGCAGACGCGGTGCCAAGCCTGCGGGGGGGGGGCACAGACATGCCCGCCCTCGCTCGCGAACCCCCAGTTGAGTGGGAAAGTTGCTGGGCCCTCGGCTCCCGGCAGCGACAGCAGTGGTGTGTGTCTGCAGCGGCCGGGGCCTCGGGAGCGCGGAGCAAGGCAGCGCGGCAGAGGGGGCTTCTCAGAAAAGGCGAACGCAGAGCCAGGCCTCAAAGGGCGAACAGGATTTCCTGACAAACGAAACTAACGGGGCCGATCAGGAAGTGAGCACAAGAGGCGAGTTAGAAGAGAGGAGGTCTCCGGACGGAGAGGAACGGATTTCGGAGGGGCCAAACCTAGCGGCCAGGGAACTAGAGGAGCAGAGGTCGGGAAGGTGTTTCAAGGTGGTGGCCTGGGCCCGTTAACCGAAGGAAGACACAGCCCAACTGTGTCCACGAATATCTGTACCCCAAGTGCTCCTCATGACCCTGCAACCAGCTGGCAGGGTGACCCTAGACCTGTCACTTCCCCTCTCAGACCCTGTTTCCTCATGTGCAAAAAAACAAGGAAGTTCCACTACATGTTTTCCAAGGCTCCTTGCAGCTGTTTAACAGTTGCCAGATGTTAAAGAACCACTGAGGCAGACCAGCCACACCCTCCCCTCATGGGGACACACCCCACCGTCAGGACTGGCTCTTCTCCATAATCTGCTTTGCTACCCTGAGATAACATTCCCACAGCGTAGGACAGTAGCAGCTACCACAAGATCTCCCAAAGGCCAGTCAAGTGTCCCACAGCCGCTATGATAGTTGTCGCCAAAAAGGAAGGACACACACCCTTCGAGCATCACCTCCAGATCCCTGAGCTAACCAAGACAGCAAAGTGCTCGCACACGTCCCAGACGCGCCCCCTGGGGCCATTTATCTTGGCAAGAGGGAATGCTTCCAGCCCAGTCAGCTCTCATTCCAGAAGGTCTCTCAGCCCAGAGAAGGGAAAGTGCAAGAGGCATAAGGAAGGTCTGCTCTGCCCTGATTTAAAACAAAACAGCGGGGAGCAGACAGGCAGCTGTCAAGGCAACGGCTCGCAGGCGCCTGCGTCTGTGCCCCCAGTGGTGGAAGAGGGGCCACGCGAAGCCCCATATCGGCCGAGGAGAAGGCAAGAGCCCTGCAGCTACAACCATGAGCAGACGCCACACGCAGCACAGACTCCAGCTCTGGTCGGACCCCGAGCAGACGCGCGGGGAGGAGTGTGGAACTGCTGTGCTAGCGGCTCTCCTGCGGGAGTGGATGGCGCTTTTTCCAAACCGCTACCCTGGAGGAACCCGGGGCTGCGGCCCTTCGGACGGCTGGCTACCCTCTACTACGGGATACAACCTTGCAGATGGGAAAGGAACAGAAGCCAAAGTGGCCAGTTCGTTTGCATAAACCAGCAAATATGCAGAAAGCCCTGGCAGCAGCGGACTTCGGAGCTGATGGTAATTAGGCCCCTGCCCTACTTTCTAAAATTGTAGCTCCCTCTTAAGGATCGGCTCCAAGCCTTATGAGAATAAAGTCAGTCCAAGCAGTTTAGAAGGTTCTGCTCCGGCCAGCGGCCTCTCTAAAAACAGCCCCGTCCCTCAGCCCTACCTTACTGAGGTAACGGCTGCCACCGCAGCTGTCGCAGCTGGCACAGGGTACTGCCAAGCAGCCCGGCCTCACTGGAGGCAACAGGTGCTGAGCCCCGCAACGCAAAGGGGCACTAGCAACCCACCAGCCTTTGCAAGTCAACTTGGTAGGGGCAGCACCGTGCATGGAGCACAGAAAGCCGCTCTCTCTGCCTCAGGGGAGGGAGATGGCAGCACCCAAGCCTCACCACGCTAACCTCCTTCTCCCTTGGGCGCCAGCTCCCCACCCCAGAGCAACCTCAAAGCTGGGAGGCCGTGCCCAGATTCAAGGACCTGAACCCGGGAAAAGAACGGGCCTGGAG